TGTAATATTCTGGGATTTTATATTTGTTGAATTGCACTCTTTCTTTGATGAATTACTCGCACAAATTAATTTTCGTCTTTGTTTTCGGAAAGGAATTATGTTTTAGAAAGGAAAGCTTCGCATCTTGGTAATTGAGATTACCTGATCAGCTTGTTATTGTGGTTTCCTAGGGTTAGGGGTTTTACTTAGAATCAACGATAAATACCGAATTGAATCTGTGGTTTCATGGTGATCATGTTGTTGTCGTCGTGAAATAGAGAAGTTTTTCAGCTATTTGAAACCGTGTTGATATCAATTGGTGATCAGAAAAAGCCGGGGAACTTTGTTTAAAACTTTGCATCCTTTTTCTTAATTCTGATACGCATATCGCAAAATATATACATTTGCAGATAATCAATTTTGTATGCTTATATGGTTTTTAACTTTTTCTGTTGAGAAATTTTGTTTATCCTATAGGGGTAAGTTCATTCTTTCGTTTCTTTTTTTACTAATTATCCCCGTTATTTCATCCCCATCAATCAGGTGAAACTTGAAGAAATTAATTTCCTAGATAGGAATCGGTTTGTTTATATTTTCCCCAAACAATGAAAAGTAGTTACCATGGAAAATTGGACTTGGACCCAATTCACATACTGAAGGAAACCCCCATTATTTATCGATGCTCAGAATGACATAGAAAACAATTGTATTATTTTCATAATGGGGTTCACTTTTTATGAACTCAGATTATGAATATTTTAATTTCTTGACTCAAACTTAACTAATAGAGTGGAGCATTGTCCCATGCATCTAGAGAAATTTTCTAGAACCTTTTTATAAAGTTGGTTTGATGGGCTACTAATCTTTACTGGTACATTTCAATAGCAATGGCTTCTCCTTCGGATTCATGGATGAGGGAGTTTAATGAAGCGTCAAAGCTTGCAGATGATATTGGTGCCAGGATTGCAGAGAGGAGCTCTTTGCCCCCCTCAGGCCCTGAAACACAGCGTCATGTCTCAGCGATTCGAAGGAAGATTACGATTCTTGGGACTCGACTTGATAGCTTGGAGTCCCTTTTGGCCAAGCTTCCCAGTAAGCAACCCATGTATGTTCCTTACCCAAGTTTCTCTTTTATTTGATGATATATTTTTCCATGACCTTTGTAAATTTTATATATTTTTTTAATTATAGCACCGTTGAATATTCGTGGTACTTTGCTTTGTGTTGGGAAGGAGTGAGAAATTGTATCTGTGATAACTTCTTTTGCTATTGATCATGTAAGATTTGCTTGCATTGTAAATAGGACATGTGCCATTTAGTTGATTTGGTATTCTGTGTATTCGATGTATGAGAAGGGGGCATGTGGTTGATCAGTAAACTTCGTGAGTTTGTGCTTCATGAACAATGAGGGAAGAACTTTACTTGCAGATGAAGCTGCTTCCTTTTTTGATAAGTGTATAATTGATATGATGTACCTTTTTGAATACCTGATAAAAATCCGAATCTATGTAGAACACAGGCAACAAACAATTCTCCTATTGGCTTTAATCCAAAAGTAACGAAGCATTCAATATCGGAAAGGAATATACTTCAAATTGTTGAAGGGTAAATGCAACGTAAATTGATTACACAGTCAGCTAGAGGAAATTTGCCTAACCCACACTCATTTCAAGAAGATATTTAATCAAGTGTCCAAATGCTGTTACTCACCTCTCGTTTATAGCAATAATTTGGCAAAACCTAAGTCCAACTACAAGTGGTTGGTTGTTTCTACTAAGAGTGAATGAGCATCCCACTAGAACCGTGGTTTGTCCACTTCACAACTCTCTTAATCTGCAGTTATGCAGAAAATATGAGGATGCTTCTTATGCTATTAGGTAGTGTCTACTTCTTGTTTGAGAATAAATCTTTGCAAGACCTACTTTCAAATAGTGGTTTACTGGGGTTATGTGGAGGATCTAGCATGTAGGTTGCGACATAAGGTTGAAATTATAAACACTTGCACCTTGGGCCCCTCATTTGTATGGCAAATTCTACCGTTAGCATTAGGGTGGTGGGGAAACTTCAAGAGGATCCGAAGGGACTTACTCTGGGGATAACCCAGAACGCATTCTGCCGTTAGATATCTACTGCAGACCTGTACATTCCAACTTATGACTCAAAGCAAATAAACACATCACTCTAATTGTTCCAGTATTTGTCCAATGGATAGTTGCCGTTGGTTGATGAATTTATCAGTTTTGGGGTGAGATTAATGGTCAATCACAAAGTCTATAGGCAAATTTCTTTAATGCCTAATCCAAGAGTTGGTCCACAAAAACCCAAGATTTGATTTGGCTCTAACAATATGAACTTCAAGAAAAACAGGTCATGCTGAATTAAGTAAATCAGTGTGACTAAACACATCTTGGACATTGCCATAGAGATGTAACAATCTTTCCAATTAAAAAAATAAAAATAAAGAAACTCTGTTGTAAGGAACAATTTATAAGAAATCTATTAGTTGGAAATAACATGAGGTTGGCTTCGTGATATGAAAAAGAAGGCAAGCTCAGCATCCATAAATTTCTTCTTGGCCCAAAAGTGACGTCCCCCCAGATTTAGAGCAGCTGTAGATGTTTCACAAGCATCTCACTGGTTTAATCAGTCAGCATAATACAGATGCAGCTAGGCTAGAAAAAGTATTTTCTGGTCCCTTTTCTACCTCTTTGCTTGGAATATTCAGCTATAGGTTAAGTGCAAACTGATTTGTATTATTTTGCGTTTCAACCAGTGGTTTAAAAAATGGATCGGTGCCCCAGATCAGGCATCCCAAAAACCCATCTAGATCGGTGAATCGGCGTTTCGGATCAGGAATCGGCCGAATCGGTCGGATTTAACCTTAAAAAAAATCCAAAAAAATAGTAAAAATCATTATAACTGTTGTTTTTTAGGAATTCAATAAGAATGAGGGTACTATATTACTAACTTTCATTTTTTTGCATCAATATTTGAATATTGAGATGTTCTTTCCCTGTATGAACTATTGTTAACCATTAAATTACATCACACAAAGAAGAAAGATAGAAATATCATGGATGAAGTATATAATCATACATAGAATATAATAAATTAATAATACAAATGAATTAATTTATTACTATAACAAAAATAATGCATTATATACGTTATAATACAAATAAATTAATAAATCAATTACAAGATTTGATTATCTATGTATAATTATTATCTATAATATTATAACAACTATGATTTAAAAAATATTAAAAAACACGTCCATATTATAAGAAAAAAATAAAAATAAATTCCCTTATAAATTTCAATATTATGACATTACAAAAATATTCAAGAAAATATTTTTCACCTAAAAATAGAAACTAACAATGTCAAAATTCAAAGAAACAAAATAAAAAGAAAAAAATTAAATTACATATCATATGTCATAGTATTTTACAAAGTATAAGATACTTCCATGTTAATTTCATACCCTAGCATTTATACTATACCCTAGTGTTTGTAAAATGCTTTGTATAAACATTAGTCGAAGAGTTCAATGGCGCTACAATGTCATAGCATTTGTAAAATGCTTTGTATAAAATGTTTTATACAATGGCGCTACAATTTTTACCTTAATAAGAGTTCAACATTAGTCCCACATCATTGTCATTGAAGCCTCATTGCAGCTATAAAACGTAGAGAGCTGGTGATTGCTGTCAGATGATGCCACACGGGAGAGGCATGGAGTTGTTGATGTTTCATACGCGGCAAGACATGTGGAAGGTGGCTTGTTGTTGACACGTGGCTACGTTTTAATGTTAAGGAAACTGTGAGAACCGGTCAAAATGGCCGTGTCACTGTAGCGACATGGTGAGAACGGTCGAAATCGCTGAGTTATTGTTACGAATCGGCGGTTCTCCTCTAGACACGCTTAATTTCCGGTACAAAATGAGAATTGGCACGGGATAATCGATTCTCGAGTTGAATCGGCCAGTTCCGTGCCGACTCGGCGCTTTTTAAACCACTGGTGTCAACTGTCACATTTGCAACTTTTGAAACAATATGTGCATTCTTAGATTTTAAAAAAAAACAATATGAGCATTGTTGTCTTTCATTAGGGTGTTTTTGTTGTGGGCGGCAATAGATTTCTCTATTTTGTTTATCTTAAAAGTTTCAATCTGTCTAGTTTACAGGTTCTTTTCTTTCTGTGCACTTTTAATGAAGTTTCCCAAACTGTGGCCATTAATTTCCAATCTTGTGAGACCAGCGAATGGCACACACTTCGCACGTATGATAGTATTGTCTTAGAGGAATATTATTCTTTCAAAAATAAAAAACTTGACTTTTGAATATGTATCTCTTAGCTGGGGAATATACACTTGTTTCCTCCATAACAATTTGATTATGTGGAAACTGGCCTAGTTCTGGGTTGTATCTTTTTTTATTGACTAATCGATGACCTGCCAACCTACACCAGTCTCCCAGATAGGCTGTTCACCTGGCTATTCCAGGTTTTAAAATTTTCCTTGGTAGTGGTATCATTTGAGAAATGAGAGTATAATTTTGTCAAAGAATATTAAGAAAATAGTATCTTAAAAGTTATAATTAATAATGAAAAGAAAAGAAATTATTTATAATGAACTCCATAGCGATATAACTATTTTTTTTATTCATACTTTGGTTTTATTGCATGACAAAATATATATTATTGTATTTCTTAAAATGATAGTAGTTATGCCAACCAATATACTAAATGGGTAGGGGAAGATCTATTTTTAATTGGTTCAAATACATGAGAGAATAACAAACAGGAATAGATGATAAATTTTCTTTAAAACAGAAAACTAATTAAAAAAAATAAAATAAAATTTATTGAAGATTGGAGGCTTTGAATTTTGTGATTGCCTCTACGTTACCTACAGTACAACAACACAATGAAAATCTCCCTCTATTGAGAAGACAATGGAGCTATATCGCTGGGAGCTATATCCCTATGCTTTCAGCTGTTCAAGTACCATGTTCGCATCAATATGTGTTAGTAAAACACCCCAACAACGTAAACCTTCTATTATCTTCTTAGAGGAGAGAGAGCAACTATGGACGCATGTATTGCCGAAATTTCAGTGCTACAGGTTTTTAGATCGACTTTCTTTTCTACAAATATTATTTATGTCTAGTTAGTTCGAAATAACATGAACTTTTAATAGTCTTGCAGGTATGTGTACCCTCATATAAAATTTACTTTTTTAAACTTTTATTTTAGCATTAATGTTTCAACTTGATAGAAAATGTTTTTCCTTTATGGTTAAATTTATATTTGGTGTCTTATACAACGCTGATTTCATGTTGATTCCAATGAGAATCATAATTCGTGATCAGAATCGGTCAAGAGTCTCTCCAATTTTATTGAAATTTGTTTTTTTTGGGTCTTATTCCTTTATTATATTTGTATAGAATATTTATGAAAATATTCCACATCGATGAAATCCTAGGTGAAATTTTTGACCTTTTTATTCCTATGCCCAATCTAATATTTTTTTTATTTCTCTTTTGTTTGTCCATTATTTTTGTAATGTTAGAGGTATTTTGTTCTTCATGTAACCTTCTATCACACCTTTTTGAAGGATTTCAGATTTGTAGTCCAACTCAAACAAATCAAAGGAATGAAACTTTTTTTTTTTCTTTTTGAGCTCCATTTTTTATCAGATTTAGATGAATTTCTTTTATTTAAAATGACGGGATTGTCTAGAAAGAAACCATTTATCTTATGTACATGGAGGTCACAATCATTCTTGTCCCTTAAATTTCAAAATGGGTGGTTGTAAGAGTGTCATTGAGTAGATATAAAGTTTCAAAAGTAAAAATTCTCAGACTTCGTAGCTCACTCCAAGCCATCTAATTTGGCATCTAATGAGTGGGATCTAATTAATGGGAATGATTGTGATTTCCATGTATGAAAAATAAATGGTCTCTTTATAGACAATCCCTAAAATGGCCTTTATAATCACATAAACAAAGGAAAGATGAATCTATGCATTTATATTATTATTTTTGTTTCATAATTTCTTTTTATTTCATATCAGCCGATCCATATTTGATCAAATGGAGGGCCGACCCACATGATGCTCAAAGTTTTAAAACAATAATAGATCTAAATGCTTAAAAGCTCAAAAAATAACTATATGTTAATTTTAAAAGGATTCTAAACTTTAGGATTGAGTAAATAGTTCTTTGCCATGGAGAGTTAATGTACTGGTTGCTTGCACACGCGCACAGGGTAGTCATTTCACAGGACTTCCAACAAACTTATGCTAAATGGATTACATATATATTGATTACAAAGTGATATTGTATTGTATTGTACATATTATATTGGGAAAGGATCCTATAAGCCCACAGGCTGATGGAATAGTATAAACCCAATGGCTCAGATTGAATCTGGGCTGATCTGACGGTCATGATTGCATTATATATTTGAATTTTACTATTTTTCTATGAATCCAAATCATATGAAATTTGGAGCATCCACTCTTCTCATTAAGGTGCACCTAATTAAAATATTAAAAAATAATTAGCAAAAAATAAATTGATCAAAATACTCTTGAAAATTTTGAGACTATTGGTTAATTTGTTTTTGTGAATTATTATTTTTAAATATTTTACTAGATTCCTCTATTTTTCAAGAGTAAATTCTCCAAATTTCAAGTGATTTGTATTTATTAAAATTAAAATACGAAATATAATTGTGACCATTGGATTGGGCTGGGTTTAATCTGGGTCATTGGGCATTTACTGTAGGTGTCAGCTAGTGGGCTGACCTCAGCTACTCCCTATATGTCATATTGAAGAAGGGACAAAAGTTATTAATAAAGTTCACCTTATTTCTTTCAAATTTCACCGTTTCAATTAAATAAATAAATCAATTGTCTATGAGTTCAGCTACTACATCAAATATATTATATATAAATTACTGAGGAATCCTTTTATCAGAAGGTATATATACCTGCGAGATCACCAAAGCTGCTTTTTTGTGGTAATGACACTGTCGAGCCTTCTAAGCAAAAAACTTGTGATGCGTGTTCTCGAAGGAAACTCATGCTTTATGTATTATAGATACAGAAAAGTGTGCAACATGCAATTTCTAAGATGAAATCTGATGGATAACGATTCTCAAAGCTGACTATAGCATCTTTATTTTTTTGTTGCCTACAGAACAGAGAAAGAACTGCATCGGCGCCAAGACATGTTCGTAAATCTCAGATCGAAAGCCAGTCAGATGGCTTCTACCCTGAACATGTCAAACTTTGGTAACAGGTTAGAATCATGGAATTACGTGGAAGCGGACACACCACTATAACAGATTATCATATTGTTGGTGATGTTGTTGTTAGTATCAGCATTATGGTTTTTATTATTTTCATCACTAAATATTGTATTAGCATTATGGTTTTTATTATTTTCATCACTAAATATTGTCTGATTTAACATGCTAGCATGCTTCACTATCTCTAGGTAATTTTGGTCTATGTAATTGAGTTCTGAAATACATGGGGAAATAAGAATTTTCTTATGGTTGTGATTTCAGGAACAACTTGCTTGAGCAAGATAGTAAACCTGTTGCTGAGATAAACCGAACCACTGGCTTGGACAATTACGGCCTTGTTGGCCTACAAAGGCAGATTATGAGAGGCATGTATATTGTCTAGTGTGTTGCTGTTTAGTAGTTGAGAGGCTTGTATGTTATCTGGTTCCCTGAGGGGTATGATAGGCATATTCTTTGTCTATTTATTGCAGTTAGATTTATGCTTTAATTACGTTATTAGAAATTTTAACCTTACCTTCACTGCTTTCATTTTCTGCTTGCACATCTCTAATACAGAACAAGATGAAGGCCTCGAAAAATTGGAGGAGACAGTAATCAGCACGAAACATATTGCATTGGCAGTCAATGAGGAATTAACCCTACACACAAGACTTATAGTAAGATACAACCCCGTCCTCCCCCCACACACACACAAACAAACACCCACACACAAAAAAAAAACTCTCTCTCTCTCCTCGGAAGTTCTTTTTTGAAGATCAGAATGTTTAGTTTTGTCAAAGTTCTAAATAAAAGATCGGTACGTCCTATGCAGGATAACTTGGACGAGCATGTGGATATGACAGGTTCTCGCTTGCAGGTATTATTTTTCTCTTCATATATTAATTCTTAATTCTTAGATATCTTTTTGCAGCTTCCAGCAGTGCTTGTTTGTGTTACTGCTTGGATGTGGGTTTTATTTATTTTCTGATATGACAATTGGCTTTTGCTAAGTATATTTTCATCCATTTTGATAGTTATATTATGATTCTCTCGATAGATTTCCTTTGGTCTCTGATTTCGTTCCCTTTATTTTGCTTGAGCTCACTAGAGGGTACAGAAGAGATTGGCCATCCTGAATAAGAAAACAAAGGGAGGTTGCTCCTGCATGTGCTTGATGTTATCTGTTATTGCCATTGTGGTTCTGGCTGTTGTTATCTGGGCTCTTATCAAGTACTTATAATGACAAGGAAACGGGTTTTCATCTCAAGTTGTTGTCACGGGAGTTCCAATTGTATCTATAGTTTATACTATATGACAGCTTGTGGCATGCCAGCTTCCAGAATTCTCCTATGAGAACCATTTGGTGTTGCTTGTGTAATAAAACATTGTTTATAATGTGGCGAGATTTGCTGTTGAATATGACTTGTGTGCATTTGGCATTTGTGAACTACTATGCATTACTTGTTATGGAGCAGAGCTTGGTGATTCCCACTGAATGCAGACAAGATCCTATAAAATAGTGTGCTCTTCTTAGTTTAAGTTGTAATTTATGATTGGGAAATGGCAAAGCTATAAATTGTGTTTTCCTTGCTAAGAAATTATTTCTCATTATGTTACTCATCTTGACCATTCCGAATGATTTTTTAAAACTGAGTGGAGATTTGATTGGGTGCTTAAGTCCTCTGGGGTCTTCAAGAATTAGGGAATGGAGCTTGTTTGGGAACTTCTTGTGCAAGAGATACATTAGCATGGAAATGCATATTTAGCTTCTATGACTATTTATATATAGAACTATTGCTGAACTTTAAAATGCTAAAAGCTTTTATTTGTCCCAAATAAAAGTGAAAAACAAAGCTGTATTATATATATATATATATGTTCATATTTCTCTGATTTCTCTTCAACTGACCTCAGATCATGTTTTGGTGGATCATGAATACTGGGTTTCTAATACACTGAAAAATTTGCTTTAGAATTAAGAATATGGCAAGCCCGCTCGCTATCATGCCTTAAGTGTGAAGGATTTTATTGTCCTTTACTCTTTTTCTTCCAACTTTTTTCCTTTCTTAGCTGATTCTCAGTTTTGAGTATTGCACCATCATTTTCTTCAGAATCTCATCTCAAAAATGGAATTTATACGACTTACATATATACATAAAAGGGGGAAACGCTTGTTATCCTTTGCTTTGAAAAGAGTATCATTGAAGAAAAGACTTACATACCATTGTCATGTTTTTACTAAGTTATGCAGTGCATATATTATCAGGAATTAAATATGGTACTTACAATTTTCTGGAGAATAGCGTTATGAAGGGGCTACGGGGCTTAGCCGAAGGGGCTACAGGGCTTTGTCCGCTGCTACTGTGTTGCTCACCCCTTGGAAAGCTTAGTAAGACATCTTCGCATTGGATAAAAGCTTTATAGTGTTACTTTAATTATCACAGTATGATACATTTAGGGAAGACGCATGAATTGATGTATGTATATGCAGCGAAGGCTAGGGGTGTTGTCATCCCCATCACAATCCATGATGGTGATGATATATCTTCACCATCCTCATTATCATGATACCATCATCATCACTTGAGATGGGCTCCTTAATGCCTCATATATTTCCTTCACCTTAGCAAGCAAAATATCTTCTTGGAAAAACCTGTGCATTATTCCTTGGAGTATGATCTAACTACAACTGGTTGTCTTTGTTAGCCCCATCTCCCTCATTCTTGATCTGGTATTGGAAACATCAGGCTTTCTTTCAACAGCTGCATAGATACTTGACAACACTACATAGTTGCTGGAGTTTGCTCCCTCATACTCAAAGAGCCAACGAGCTGCATGGTCTCCCACCTCCACATTGTTATGCATTTCTACAAGCATTCAGCCAGGCTCCCCATTCGCCCGCTTTAGGCTCAACAGGCATCTTCTTGCATCTCTAATGCCTCTTGGATGCACCATGCATGCAAAGTGCTCAGCACCATGCTTCACGCCATAATCCTAATTCATTGATTTGAAAATTATTTGCTCTTTGATTATTAAACCTGAGCGGCCACAGTTTGATAGAATTGCTGTGAAGGTGAGCGAATTTGGCATGACCCCAACAGCTTGCATTTTGTTGAAAAGTGCAAGAGCATCGTTACCCATGCCGTGAAATCCATAGCATGCTATCATGGCCTTCTTGGTGACCCCCAAGAAGACCCCTTTCGCACCATCAAGAAATCCACATATGGAGTTCATGTTGATCAAAACATTTGCTACTACGAAGTTTGAGAAATATCCATTTTTGCTCACCCAAGAGTGGATCGCCTTGCCTCGCAAGAGGTCGCCTTCATGCCCACATGCACCCAAAACACTTGGCATAGTCATGCTATCAGTCACCACTCCTTCCCTTTGCTCTATCATAGCCAGCGATCATGGCACTTTCTCGGCATCACCTACTCTCTCACACTTTGCATACATATCCAAGATCACACAGCCGACAATTAAATGGCTGTCATAACCCATTGTTATCACATGGTTGTGGAGCTTCTCACCTTCGAATCGAGCTCTTAGGCCCGTGCAGGCCTTGAATGAGCATGGGCACCAGAAATGATCAGGTTGAAATACTAAATTTAGATACTCTAAAAAAAAATTTGCAGGGCTCGATCCCACTATGCACTCGAACAGGCGCGGCATCAAGGGATTCCATGAGTGCATTTTTCTGTGGGGCATCTTTTCGAATATTTGTTGTGCTTCTTTGTTGGAACCGCATTTCGAATGCATTATAATGAGATCGGTTTCAAGAAAAATATTTGGCATGAGGCCATTGATAAGGTGGTTGGCATGGATTTGCTTGCCTTGGTTTTAGGCTCCATGAACAAAAGATGGTCTCAATTACATTATTTGTGGCTAATACGTTACAACTCATAATTTAAATGGGTATTATAAGTTTCTATGTAGTCCATCATAACATGGACCATTTAGATGGGGGAAAATATTAATTGGTCTGGTGGGGTGCCTAAAAGACAAGTTTTTTGTGATTAATTTTCAGTGTCACCCCAATATTAACTTCAGAAGAAAATTAATTTTAAGATTTCAAAAAAGTCGCTCCGCGCCATAGTGAAATTATGGAATGAATTTATATAAGGTTACAACTTATACTATAGAAGTAAGGTTCACCTCTAAACTCGAGTAGAAAGGAATTGTTCCGAAGTTAGAAAACCTTCTAATTGATTATCTCGACTTCGAGATGTATAGATATGAAGAGTTTTTATCTTTTATTTTTTTTTTCAAGTCTTAAAAATAGTGCATCTTATAATAAATTATTTGGACCGTCCATTTTTAAGATTTTAAACTGTTTATATGTCTGCTTGAACTGTATCGGTCTTAGAAGTTTGAATTTAAGAAGAAAAGAATTTACATAAGGTTGCAACCTTAAACGGCAGAAAAAAAAAGTGTCTCAAATGTCCAACAAAAAAGGTTGTTTTAATGGTGAAAAACCCCGTAATTAATCATCTCGACCTCGAGATGTATGGATGTGGAAGGAAAAAAAAAGTATTTTAAAGAACAAAAAAGGTTTATCTCATGTATATTGTCTAGACCGTCCATTTTCAAGATTTTTATGTATTTGTAGATCTACTTGATTTATACTATTTTTTGAGTTTTAAATTTTATAATTAAATGTGAAAAGTTTTTCAAGACATCTTTGAAATTTTCGACACCAAAATTACATATTTTGTCAAAATTTAAAGGTCATGTATAATGTGTGCACCTTATACAAACGTCACCATGAATGTGTGCACCTTATACAAAGGTACGGTATAATGTATACACTTGATGTGCACCTTATACAAACATTTCTTTTATCTTTTACTTTTTACTTATATATATCTCTTGAGACTCAATATTTGAAAATATTACTAGTAAATAAAATGTTTGTATTTTTTCCATCTTACAACTCTCGGATCTCTTTGACCATAAATATTTGACCAAAAAATAAAATAAAATGACACCCACTTTACCTCTCACGTTTCTCTCAAATCACCACTCTCTCTTTCAAATCACCTTCCCTCTGTTTATATCTAAAAATTCCATTTCTCTCTCTAATACCCAAAGTTGAAGTTTCCTCTCTGCATCGTCTATCTCCTCTCTCTCTAGAAAACCTCATAATCCTCATTACCCAGTTGCAGCTCCAACCCACCGATCTAAAAAACCCACAATCTCTTAATCTCTCTCTACCTCGTCTCTCTCTCTTCCCTCTTCCTTCGTGCGCCACCTTCCTCTCTCTTCTTCTATCACTAATCTTCTTCCTCATTGCTCTGAGATCTACAGGTGACTACCATTTATGTGCTTTGAGAGAAAACCCATCTCCTATTCTCAATGGTAACTCAATCTCAAGCTTACAAAGCTTTGAATTCTTGAATTTAAGCTTCAGTTGCAAGTTGGAAAGGAGCTCCATAGTGGATTGTTGGGGCTCTAACATGATTGCAACTCATGATATTCAAGGTGATTTGAGGTCAATCACAGCTGGTTCAGTGTTCAATTGTGGTCTTTTTAAAGAGAATGAGATTGCTTTATGTTGGGGAGATGAGACTGGGAGTGCGGTTACAAGCTTGATTCCAACGAATTTGAGGTTTAGACCATTTCAGCAGGTGGATTTCATGTTTGTGGTGTTTTAATGGAATCTACTTCAAAGGTTCTTTGTTGGGGTAGGAGCTTGAGTCTTGACAATGGCAAAATGGACTCAATTCCTACTGATTCTATGATCTCCATAGTTGGTGGTTGGTTTCATTCTTGTGGTATAAGAGCTAGGGATAAGGGTGTTTTTTATTGGGGTTTCAAGCTTGATACTAGCACCCCTGTTCCTGCAAATATTGGCTGTTGCAGCTGGTGATTACTTCACCTGTGGAGTTTTGGCCTCTACAACCTAACAGCCAGTTTGCTGGGGTTCGAGCTTTCCAACCAATTTGCCCATGGTTGTGGGCCCTGGAACCTGCTACTCTGAAAAATGTCAAATCCTTCCTTGGTAATAGTTAGCTAATTCCAAAGTAACTGGTTGATGTTTTGGAGAACTGTGGGTGTTTTTAGATCGGTGGGTTGGGGCTACAACAGCGTAATTGGGCTTCAGACCTGTGGGGTTTTTTAGAGAGAGATGAGATAGACGATGCAGACAGGGAACTTTGGCAACTTTGGGTATTAGAAAGAGAAATGCAATTTTAAGAGCGAGTGATTTGAGAGAAGTGCTTTCAGATAAACGTGAAAAGTAAAGAGGGTGTCCTTTTAATTTTTGTTTGGGTCAAATATTTATGGTCAAAATATCTAAGGGTCATAAGAAAAGAAAAAATGGACACGATTTGCTTCTAAGTAATATTTTCAAATTTTGAATATCAAGAGATAAAAAAATAAAAATTAGAGGATAAAGAGATATTTTCTCTTGTTTATTTTCAACTCTGGGCTCTCAAAAGTTTACATACGGTGTTAATCATCTATAGAAGCAAGATGTAACAAAAAAGTCCATCACAAAATAATATTAGGAAATCATGCAATTGCTCATTTCTACC